TTTTTTTTTTTGCATTACAGCAGCAAGATTGTTAGGAGAAAATGTGCTTAACTGTCATAAAAATAAAGTAGTATTGCCTAATATTTTACTGGTCTGTATGAGCTAGGTTTAGTAAGATTCACCCTAAACTCTTGCAGCATTTTTCTCTAGTAGTCCAGTAGTCAAATTCAGTGAACCTGTACCTCCAGCTGGTCCTGGTACTCCTGCAGGTCATCCAGACCGCAGCGATCCGGCTCACATCTCACAGCCATCTCACTCTCCATCTCCAGCACATCTACGGCGAGTTCGGCACAGCGCTGCAGACACTGCTCCACGCGCGCTGACACCATGGCATGCTGGGAAACAAAGAGACGACGAATAGGACAGAGAATAGTGAATGCTTATACTACCAAACATGTTTTCTTGCCAGGTCTGCCTCAACACAAACAAAAGTTTATGTGACGTAATCGGTTTCCGACTCTACTCACCCTGGTGAGCAGTTCCTGGATGCTCTGGTCATGTGACTGCGAGCGGCCCCTCTCCCGTGCCGTGTCATTGAGCATCTCAACAGCTTCTCTGAGCTCCTTCACAGGGTTCCCAATGGCTTCCATCAGGGGCTCATCATGTCCTCTCACCGGCAAGCCCAGAAGAGACGCTCCAGAGTCAAGCTCACTGCACAGCGGCTGGAGGAACACAGTTCAAAAATGAATAAACCAGGAAATCAAACAGACCAGACTACTTTAAGCTCTCTGGAATACTTGATTCTGATTGGTCGATCCTGCCATTCTGATCAAATATTTGAGTATAATGACACTGAACTGTATAACTAACTGTTTTTTTCCAACACAGCTGTACTAGTTTGAGGTCTCATATCACTCCATAATCTCTTTCATCTCATATAATAAAATCATTTAAACTCAAATCAATATTGCATGTCTACTTATTCATTTGATCAGAGTTGTGCCAAGTTCATTGCACCGCTTCATTTATTTTGAATGTCATTATGAAATAAAATCAGAATTGTTCTGGCTATGAGTTACGACAACTTGATTGACGGATTGATTCCAATAGTTTGACATTAGCATGTTGCTAAACCATCAACATGATACTCTAATAACTATAACAATACACTGTGCGCACATACACACACACACACACATACACACCATCACTGATTATATTATTAAATTAATGATATTAGTTTTTATAAATAGATTTATCAGTGTAATATAATATAAACATTACAAATTTAGTTCATAAGTTTTATAAATATACATTTAATAATATTATGTTAATTAAATTATAATGAAATAATATATTAATTTATATATATATATATATAATTGATATAATATGATTAATGCAAATAAAATTGTTATTTATTTATTAAATCATATTTATATTATTTTAAAAGTCTTATTTATAATAATAATATTAAAAATAATAATCCAACAGAAATTATTATGGCAACTTAAACGGATGGAACCAGAGATGATGCTTACAATAATTAAAACATTTTTTTTTACAGTGCAGCTCATGGATTGTTGTTCTATGCTGGATTCGAACCAGCAACCTTTCTGGTTATCAGTAAACCACACCATCTTCTTATCGTCTTTATCTCCAGTGCTAACATGCTGCCATTCATTATCAATGCTAGAAAAGAGTTGAGCATTCCTGTAGTTCAAATACATGGGTTTGATTCCCAGCAAATGCATGAAACCTTCGCTGCAATGCAAGTCACGTTGTATAAATGCATCTGTCAAATGCATGCACGTAAACGAACTGGAAAAACTTAACCGGCAGCTAACCTGTCCCAGGGTGCTGTAGTGACTTTCCTCGAGCTCCAGCTTCTCCAGGAACTCCGTGAGCATCCGCGTGTCCTTCAGCTCTGAGCTCTGCTGGGTCAGTGCCATCTGCACACTGCTGAACCTGAAAGAAACACCCACGCTCATACATCCGAACACCGCAGCGCAAACTACATCTTATATTGTGTCGAACCGGCGGCACATACTTCTTCTCCACGTCCTTCAGCCGTGCAGGAAGCAGCTGAGTGTGAAGATGTCTTTGACTGCTCAGATGATCTACTTCCTGTCTGAGGGTCTGCAGCTCCAGACGTCTGGCCTCCAGCTCCTGCTCCAGCTGGCAGCTCTCTTGCTCCGCCACGCTCACGGACTCGGGGTCTCCAGCCAGAGACGCCTGCCTGATGGACAGCTCCACCGCCTCTAACCACGCCTCCAGACTGGCCAGAGACTGCAGCATCCGCACCACCTGCCGATCACAGTCACACAACCCGCAATGATCAATTAAACACAGCTGCTGTGGTCGGTCTGTCACAGTTCATACAGGAAATATTCTCTGCAATGCACAAATCACAAATACACTCATGAGACAGAGCAGACCATTGCATTGTGAGATATAATATTCCATGATTCCATACTGAACAATTAACAAACTGCTTGCATTTGGCAAAAATATGATTACTCTGGAATTGAAATCAAATTTTGTGAATATCTTCTCTTTTGGCAGTCCAATGAAATAATGAGTCAAAGAGATAAAAAAATGCAAATATGTCCTAATATTTAATTCATTTTTTATGTTACTTTCGTTTTGTTTGCCTGCTGTTGTGTTATTTGTATTATACATTTATTCAACTTACAACTTTTACATTGTGACATTATTTTTAAGACAATTAAGCGCATTTTCTATCAAAAATCACTGTAATGCAGTGACACATTTTATTCGATTTTTCTGCATTCCCCATTACACTTTCAAAACTGTAATAAAGTAAATATTAAATGCAACAAAACAAAAAAATTGCAATATAGTTTTTATTTTATAATGTAATCAGCATAAATGAAATATGT